GTAATGCCTTAATTTTTGTTGCTGCATTCTTTAACGAAGCAATTCGCCGACTGACTGATAAGAAAACAATCATTTTTCATTGTTGAATTAATAAAAGTTTATTGATAGAAAACGAATAATGGTAATAATAAGGAAGAACAAAATAAAGGAATAAACATTGATAACGAGAATACTGATGACCATAATAATAATTACAATAATAATAGTAATAATTACAATAGTTCAGACAATAATGCAAACGAATACCTTAAGGCGGTGTGCGTATCCTGTCTGAGTTCAGATATGAACGCCAGTTTGAATTGTTGTCTGATGATGAGATTTGAAAAATTATTTGGTATTGATCTGGCCCTGATNTTATTTCTTTGAGAATTCTCAAATCATCATCGCAATCGACCACAAACGATTCATTTCGTGATTGCGCGACAAGCTCCAAATGATCATCTTCAATGTCACTAATGATGAAAAGAATAATGATATGGTGCACTACTTGATCTATAGTTTAATCCTTTACGTAAGCTCCGAATATCATAGTTCAAATAGCAGTATTATGTAGGATGTAATGTGATATGATAGTTCATTATGACACTTCAAAGAAATGATCGATTCAAAGATTAGAACTTCAAAATCGTCAAAGCCCTAAATCCTTCATCAAATAATTACTGGGATTTTAAGAGTTCAACTCACCTAACTACAAATCCTAACATTTGATCGGTCAACGGGAAAACAAAGAGTTGCTTCGGTTGAAGTTGACAACTCTGACAAAGTTTTGAGGCACGTTCAGCCGCGAACGGATCGTCCCCAGTCACCACACTTCCATCCTGGAGTAGCACCACACAAATTCGTGTCCCTCTCGTCCCAATACCCGCCCTGAAATATTCATCCCTCAGTCGAATATACCTATATCTCCTCAACTAAGCCAAATTGCTCAGTAAAATTTTTAATATTCTGAATCTAGAGGTTCTGTTGGATCGAACGGTGAAAAGAAATTCGCATGTTTCCTGGCAAACCTGAGAAGACGGTTAGCTCGAAGATCGTAATCTGCCTATTGCTAATATGAACGTACTGATTGCTCTATAGTGATACCACTTCAAATATCCGAAATATGAGATTAATTCACAATATCCAATCAACAATACACACAATCACTGTGTGTCGCAAAAGTGATAAAAATCAAACATTTTGAATACAATTCATTTTGTCCTCTCGTAATCTGTCATTGCAGTTCGATGTGTTCATACGGTGGCTCAATATGAAACGGTATTTAAGTCTGAAGCTAACAAGTCTTTGGGCATTTAATCAGCACTTCGAATATCCGTACTAATTATCATCTTAATCTTTTTATTTGACTGACATTTCGAAAATCAAACGAAAAAAAA